CCCTGACTGTGAAGGTGAATGGCACAGGATCGATTCCATCAAGAAGCACAGGGTACTTTTATATTACAGTTATTCCTTGTTGACTAATCCCAAATATCACGAAACCAAGAACTCAAGGTCCAAGGATTCTCAAATAGATGGATTGCAACTGATAGATGTACCAATAACTCACGTTTTATCCCGATCAATACTCATTAGCTGTCTATACTTGCATCCCACGTTGATGTCCACACACAGAATCGAACCTATTGTGTTTCACTTGCAACACCCAACTCATTATTTATTGAGCTACTAAGTCATTTAAAGTGTATGAGGCGAAAGGTACATGGTTTGAATACCTGAATGGACATCAACATTGAGACTTAGGTTTACCTAGCTGACGAGTTCAAGATAGCCTGTAAACTGGTTCTACATTCTTCTTTGAATATATCAGTCTGCTACTGATATTGACCAAGTCAAATCGTAAATATATGCACTACTCATCGATAAATATGTAGATCTCTTCCCGAAGATTGTAGCCGGATTTTCAACCAGTAGCATATCTCTTTCGGTAGAAAGCAACGCTAAACGTTAGCCAACAAAATGCATTCGTCAACATATCTCATTTACCATATTACTGATGACAAATTGGCCCAACGTATCATCAACTGGTTTTTTTGCAATACACCATTTATTTTCACTACATATCTGAATAGTAATTTCGATTCCTATCTGACTGCTAACTAAATAATATTGATATTTGTCTCAATTTAATTGTATTTATTCATTGAATTTTTGTAGGTTTGGGCTCGCCAATCCTGTAGTGATCAATATTCGATATATTTATAAATTTCGCATATTCTTAGTCCTGATAATTGTTACTAAATAGTGAATACGAAGCGACGATTACGTTTATTATCGCACCACTCCGGAATACAAAGTGGAAATGGTATGAAAGTGCCGAAGAGCAAGCGAGTGAGTGAGCGCGCTCACTGTAAGTGTGTTGTATTCTAAGTCGAGGCTCACCTTTTCCTCTTGTTCTTTCCTTTTCGGGATAAACTTACACGCTGTTTCTCACACACCCACAGCACACAAGGCAACCTTCAGGCTAAATGAAAACTGACCAAAGGCTATACTTACAGATTTATTGCTTAATATCATATCTATTAGCTAAGAGAATCATGTGTTACATTTTATTGCTAATCAATACTGTATATGAGATCAATCTCCTCTGACATTTTAACTTTTTATTTAAATATCACAGTGTTCCTTAAGATTGCAATTTTTCTTTGTAAATTTCAGGTTGACCTTGGAATGTAACTAACTGATAAGATTCAAACACGACAAAACTTTAGATATTTTATGTAAAAATCGTTTTTTTAATTCATGTCTATAAAATTTGTTATAAAATGTAAACTCATTGTGTTCACCAGCAATGAAACAGATGTTATATAGAAAATAAGGTCATTGAATATTGATTGAAGTCAGAACTGTAATGTAGGATATTTAATGGTGGTAAAGTCTTTACCACAAGACCTAAAATTCCTAGGTTGAAATCTTGATGGTGTCATAAGTGTATACTGTTAAGGTGTCCGGCACTAGTACGAAAAGGGCTGTCTAGTGAATTATAATCTTTAGAGACACATCAACTGAAATTAGTTTGTGACGGATGTAACCTATGAATTAAACTGATTTCTATAAAACTGGTTCATTGAAAAAGTATATATGTAATTACTGAAGTCACTGGTTTATAAATTACTAATAATTCTACTGAAGATAATCAGGAAACGGGGACCGAGACAAAATAAATTGAGCGATTGTGAACAAGAATTCGTAATCTTTCGTAAAGATTTTACAATTATTGTGAATTTTCTGAAAAGATTTTATCTAACGCAAACTGTTTGTTTGAATGCTTCAAAAGTGCAAAGCAACTATATTGGGTCTGTATATGTTCATTGGAGGAATGAATTAACATTACAGTTAATATCCTATTCAATGACTAGTCACATCATTATGCATGAAACAGACGAACACTACGCATATCATATATTATTTCCTTCATATCATCATTGTTAGACGACCATTAGAAACCTGGAAGCATGGTGCGGATGTTAGATCCCCAGAACTCGCTTGATAAATGCCTTATCTTGGGTTTCACGTTTACCAGCATGGGCTGATCAGTTGACCTTGAGATTTCATTTCCCATCAGGAAAATCCATGGCTGTGATTGGCTGCTGTGTATCTCAGTATGCTATTTTCTTAACTGTCCCAAGGACGTTTCTATGATGTATAAATAAATGAGAGTTGTGTGCTTGATTGTATTGTGATTGCTGGGTGTTTGTAGAATATACTTTCTACGCTTACGAAGACTTCTGTTTTGCAGTTTGGGATTCAAAGTAGCCTACATGGACGCTGGTAATTGTCTTGTTAGCGTTTATCGACTAGGGTGAAGTCGTAATAGCTTCAAGCGTACCAAGTGACGAACATAACAAAGCACTGGAAGACTGCCGTTTCGTCCTTATATGGAACTCATCAGCAGTGCGCATCCATGACTCTTGCACCACCTCACAGGATTCGAACCTAGGACCTTCGGTCCTGGACTCAAAGACGCCTAACCTCTTGACCACTTGTCCGGAATCCAACGGTGTTAATGTCTAATTCTAATCAACCTATCGATTTTGCGCAACCTCACCTACTGTGTTTGGTAGTTACTGCCTACACCCAACAGGACTGAACTCCTCTGGCCACGTCTTCTCACGAGAACACCGAGAACACCGAAAACTAGTCACTAGTGTGCTCATTGTATGAGTTTTCATCAGAGAGTTATGAGGATTGTTGTTTATTACTGAAATGTGAATATATCATTATAGTCAAGATTGATTAATTGAAAATAAACAGCATTCACGTTTTTTTTGGCAAATTACGAAATGCTCTTTTATCAACAGCATCCAAATACTGATGATATTTACATGCTAACGCATCAACCTCCTAATGATGAGTTTAAAACCTAGAATAAAATCATAAAATTGGATAACGCGCTTATTTACATTCAGTTTATTTTGTTTAAATCAATCAATAATCATTGCTAATTGTTTGAATTTTCGTATTGAGAACAAGTGAACTTTTAAAAATATATTTATATATTTATTTGTTTGTATTGAATAATTGATAAACTGTAATAAATAATTTGCATATATATATCTATTTCATTTGAACATCTGTTTTCTCTTGACTAATATATTATTGAACATTGATTGATAAGTTTGTTGCATTGACTGACCGTTGATGCGAATTGTAAGACTTGAGAATATAGTTTTTTTTTTCTGTTTTAAAATAGTTCATAATATATTTATTATATTTGAGATTTCAATCAAACATAGACAAACATTGACAATTTATTGATGTAGAGAAATGCTTAGAAACAGGTTGATTGTGTTGATGTTCAGATTAGTGACAGAATGTTTATTTCTCACTTTTTCTGACGAAGTAGGATAATGAAAGACGATAAAAACTTCTATTGATTGCTGAATCGTCTAGAAAAAAAATAAAAATATAATTTTATTGTTTAAATATTATTAACAGAAATTTAGATATGATCAGTAATTTTAAATGTTAAGCGGAAGAGGTTGAAATCACAAATGAACCATTGTTAGAAGACCATTAGAAACTCTGGACGGCCGTTTCGTCCTGGTGATGGAGAAGATTAGGGTTCGAAGATATGATTCAAGAAGTATGATTCAGTGATGTAAATTTAGAAAGAGAATGTCAGAGGTGATGAAAAATTCAGAAAATTGAAATTCGAAGCACGACGAAGAATGGAATCACCTCAACAATTGCATATGTTTTTGAACCATGTCGTTCAAGGGCACACTCTAACCATCAGTTACTATAGTCTCGTGGACTCCAACCAGGTAGTCTACACTATCCAACATGATTCATTCGGTTGTCAGTAACTTTATGGATTTGTGCCATGTTCTGGTTTGGTCACCCTTAGCTTTCTGCTAGCCTACCCTCAAATTAGACCATCTCTCTTGGAGGAATTTGGTGGTTGTGAATACGTAGAAGTTATCCCAACCAGCTCAACTAATAAAGATTCACTACTTCATCAAATGATCTACCATCCTTAACTTGTAACCTTTTCATAACCCCAGCATTATTTACTTCATGGCCTCAGGATTTACAAGCAATGCTTCAAAGACTCCTATGATAGAATAATCAGTGGTAAAACAATGAGCTTATTTAATGTCTAATCGAGTCAAATGAATTCTACTTAACAATACAACGATGAACTATGAAGTCAGTAAGGAAATTCATTAGGTCTTAGTGGACTTATTCAATAGGTTCATGATGAAAGCGATAAATTTATTGAATATTCTATCAATCTAAATCGGCCGATGAGATTTTACTCAGCTGGATAATCAATGAAATCCCTTGAATATATATACGTTAGGGACGTTAGATCCCCAGAACTCCTTTGATATAAGGTCCTAATTACAGATTTTATGTTTTCGGCACATGAGCTGATCAGGTGACCTCGAGATTACATTTCCCACTCAGAAAATCCTTGAATGTCGTAGGTTGATGTACTATTTTAGTACGCTGTTGTTGTGGAGCTCCCAAGAACGTTTCTACCATGTATAAATAAACTCGATTTTTGTGCTTGTCAACCTCATATTTTCTGGGTGCTTGTAAAGTACACTTTCTACGCCTTATCAAGACATCTTGCTATAGTTGGCAGGGCCGGAGACATTCGAATAGTGTCACTGTATCATTGCTTTGCTCTCGTTTACCGAGTAAGGTGAACTCGTAATAGTTTCAACCATATCAATATATATATATATATATATATATATATATATATATATATATATATATATATATATATATATATAATCACTTCTCAGTGTTTTCATAATCCTATACAACCCACTAGTATTTTAAGAAAATCTATACCAGTTAAATTAATCATTAGAAACAAAACTTCTTCAAAACTTTAATACACTGCATTCATTACCTTTTGTCTATTCATATCGATATTCTTGTAGTCCACCATGTGTAGGATCATAATCAATTGTAGAGCCTAAACATATGGTTGGAATTTGAGTTGTTGTAAATCGATGGTCATTTTCTGGAGAATTGATTTCGTTCCGTTGATTTCCATTTTTCATTGTAACAAGTGACTAAAAATAGATAAAATTTTCAAAAATAAAACATGTTGATGAAATTTCTAGAACTCTGGAATATTAATAATTAATATTATTGTACAGTGGGGTTTGTGATGACCGTTGAATGTTTCTGTTTTCAACCATGGATTGATCGTAGCTGAATGGCTGTTTCATCTTAGCATGTGTACACTCAAGTAATTGCCATAGAGGGTTAAACACAGGACCTTTGGTTTCGCTCACGAATGCTTAACATCAAAGCCATTAAGTTGCCATACGATGGTAAACATCGGAAACTTCAATCGATTCGCGGCATAAAAGTTCCAAAATCACTACAAACCCCTCCATACTTGTCATAATCAAGTGTTTATTAGTGATTTTAGGCGATGAATGATAGTCTTGCAGATTCGTTGAAATCAAGCATATACATTGTAGGATCGTGTCTCTGTGGTGTAGAAGTCAGAAGGTCGGTTATGGGACTGACAGTACTGGATTCGATTTCTTATCGTGGAGTCGTGAATGTGCAGTGCTAAGAAATCATATACTAGGACTTAACAGTGCATTCTGGAGTTTAATAATGGTCTATACAAGAAAAGTGAGAAAACTAACTTTTATGGTATCTTTTCTAGTATTGTTCGTAGAAAGGGACATAGACTGAGTTGTTTGGAGAAACGAGTTTACTTTGAAGGACCTCTTGAAATTATTCATTAGAGTTTGTTTTTCCTGTCCATAGTTAAACAACAGCCTCTAGCTTAATATGATAATTGAATAAAATGTCAGAACGACATGATGTATCATTGTTTACGTCTGGCTGAGCGCTAAGAATCCTAAGATACATTTCATTTTATTGGAATCCCTTGGGCAGCATTCCTTCATACAGTCTTCATGAATTAGACAAAATTTGAGAACATTTCATTTCATCACCATTCTCTACAAAAAAAATCTAGAGATTTGAAATGTTATCTGTCACAGTCTGATTGAACGATTACTTATCTTTATATTAAATTTAGCGTGCTCCCTGTAGTCTCCAGAAGTCAAAAGTTATGATTAAACCTGTAAATAGTGCTGTTCCACAAACCTACATGAATCTTGATACACAAACTTTTCTTATTTTGATACTCCCTCTACGGTTTATGAATCAGGCAGGCTACCATGAAGTGAGTATTATTTGGCAGACATTTCAGCTATATCCAGTGTAGTGTCTAAGAAATACAATATTAGATAACATATTTGAACAGTTTATTCATCTCCTTATTTCCAGAATTTTTATACTAAAGTACTTTTATTTAATGTCAGGTAGTTGAAAGTAGACAATAACAGACTCTAGGACCTATCAGTATCAATAATCTGGAATCTTGAGGGAATAGTTACTGCTATACTTACGCCCCTCCAAATAAACTAATCATTGGCTGGCTAAACAAATTTCGAAGCCGAATCTCCATTTTGCATTGAAGCGTCTTATAGTTTCTGGGTTATTGTAATCTTTGGGTTATAAGTACATTTGTTGACTAAATCCAAATTGAATGAAACAAAAGTACTGGATTCCACAGCTATCCAAATTTATTGGGTATTCAGAGTTCGATTTATGCAGTAAAAACATACTCACTTGAGCTTCATCTCGTTTTGGTGGATTCCTCAAATATAACGTCAATGGAGCGTAAACTAAAGAAACAATAGCAACAAACCAAAGCATCCTGAAATTTAAAAGCAGAAGAAGAAAAACACTAATGTCAACATTTACTTCTTAACTTCAAAAGAAATGTTAAACATTCATGTATTGTTTGTTATGTTTGAGTTAATTGATCGTTATTAGAATAATACGCCCACTAATTAAACCTCTTTAATTGCAGCTTCCTTGAGCTATAATTGTTAGTGTAGAACTGAAGGTTTCTCATTAGATCAGAAGTTCATTACGAACATTGTAGATGGTTTGGCATTATTTTGGCAAGTTTTGATCATAGTCCAGGTGTAAATTTAGTTTGTTGCGTAGCAGATTTCATTGATACTAGTGGTTGCTTTGCAACATTCCCGAGGGATACTGTCATTGGAACACTGTAAAGCATTGCTAATAATAATGAGTTTGACAGTTATGTAAGCGGGATGAGTCAAATTGAACTGTTCGTGCTGTGCATATCCATCGACGCGATTATGGATCGGAAATAATCATTATATGTATTGATTTACATAAATGGTGTGAATGGTCCACTAGGGTGCCAGATGCCTATGTGGTTGAACTAAAGTATTCTTAGTTAAGCTATATAGCTCGAAGAACGTCATTTCACAAAAGCACATCATCACTGGAGTTTTCAACAATGATTATATCTAATAGTTATTTTCTACAGGTGTTCATTCATAACAGTATAATGCGACAATAAACGTGAAGATAAGTGTGTCATTTCTTTAGATTGAATATTCATAAAGCTACGAGCATTTTCAAGTAGTAATTTTATCATTTAAGTCATAAATCAATCATTGTTAGACCATCGTCATTAGAAACCTGGAAGCAATGGACAGCCGTTTCATCCTGGCATGGGACTCATCAGCAGGACTCAAATCAAGGACCTTTGATCTTGAAGATGACTGTCTAAGCACTGGACCACTGGGCCGCCGGCATCTAATGGTGTTAATGTCTAGGGGTTTTGCGCGACCTCACTCATTTGTTTTCGGGTTGATCTCCTCTGGTCACGTTATCTCACTAGAACACTGAGAATTTCCTCACGAAGCTATTCACTAGTGAGCACATTAGAGTAACAAATGAATAAAATAACTGTCTAAAATTTAAATAATTCCTTATGTATTTATTTAAGAAAAACTATCACAAATAATTTTAAAAAGCCCAACTTAAAAAATCACTACTAATATCAAAGTAGATATTATTTCAATAACAAAGGTTTGGCCTTTTCTTTAATTATTCTGATTCGAAGTAACACACACACCTATGACATGATATTTTTTATCTTACCATTTAAATCCAATACTTTTGACCATTGCACCACTGATGATCGGTCCTGGAAGCAGTAAAAAAAACAAAAACACATATTTAGCTAATGTAAGGTAATTCGAAAACATTCTGTCAACTTTCAAAATGATCGTCATCTTAATACAAAATTACAAATTGTGGTAGTGTTTCGTTCTCTGAGCTGGATGCTGTTTTGGTCGTAGAGTTCGCATTGTTGTTCTTCCTTTGAACAAAATCATCGGCGAAAACTTCAGATAGAAGAAGTGAAGTATTCGAATTTCTCCACATGTATCACCTGCAGCTTATTCTGTTAACCTCGATCTTGATTGTTTGCTGTTAACCTTAAATCTGTCATTGTTTGCACCTTTATTTTGATAGTATCCTCCTTTTGATCTATTTCTTGTTCCTATGCCGTCTATCATTTTTCTGATTAGTTGATAAATTGGATTAATGTCGAAGTGTTTGTTGATTGCTGACTAACCTGAGTATCAAGCTTCTACAAATTCATTATTTGTACTCTACCTATCCAGTAATGGATAAAACAAACTACGAGTCATACACCTGGACACTTCACTTCTTCTACCTGAAGTTTATGCAGATGTTGTTGTTGAAAGGAGAAACAACAATGAAAGCTTCAAAATCGAAACAACATCCAGCTCACAGAACGCAAAAACACCACCACAATCATTCTTCTGAGCTACAAATTTTCTCCACTATCTCAAAATTACAAATCAATGCTATAATATTTATCTTTTCAATGGTATAATTATTACTTGTAGTACGTTTGAATCGAAGACTTATCATCGTTGCAGCATAATAACTGATTAAGTTATCAGTTTTAAATGCCAAGTAGATTCGGTTAATCGTATGTAAATATTATCAAAGTAGACTATATGTAGACATACATGTCAAAAAGTAATCGAATATTTACAATGTTCTTAAGAATAATAAACGTTGTTCATCTCTCATATACACATGAACTGGACTGGATGTTTCAAACATCGATTTGGCAAATCATAAAATAAATCGTACAATGTGCTAGCTAGTGACTAGCTCAGTGAGGAAATTCTCAGAGTTCTTGTGAGTGGACGTGGCCGGTGGAGTTCACCCATGTCAAGTGTAGTCAGTAACTAACGAAAAAAAATGGGTGTGGCCGCTCAAAATCCCTAGACTGATCAGAGTTAGGCATTAACACCGTTAGATGCCGGACCAGTGGTTCAGTGGCTAGGCGTTGGCGTGCAAGACCGAAGGTCCTGGGTTCGAATCCAGGGAGTAGCAGGAGTCGTGGATGAACACTGGTGATGAGTCTCATATGAGGACGAAACGGCCGTCTTGCAGTGCTTCCAGTTTTTCTAATGATGGTGTAACAATCCTTGATTGATGAGTTCAGTGTGTAAAATATTAGTAAGCTCTATCTGAAGTGTATGTATAATAAAAATGTAAACTTGGAATTGCGAAACATCGATAAACAGTTTTCGTTTCTCGCCACATTATTTTGGTTTCAATTATCCTGATCTACAGAATATGACTGAAATCTGATTACAATAACATCCAGTTAATAGTTCTACCCCATAGTTTTAAAGATTTTCTGGGAAAATTATTGTGAACCATTATACAAATGTGAAAACTTACAAAATTTCGTGCAACAAATATACGGTAGATGCCTTTCACTAACTACTTATATAGATGAACTGAAATTTTTAACTGACTAGTTATTTAGACAAAGAAAAATATACTTTAAGATCAGCCAACTGAAGTTTAGTCTTTGGTACGAACTACACATATTATGTCTGGAGGGCAGTAACATTACATCTTTAAGCTGTTAAAAATAGGTTAAATTGTATACAACAAACCAGTTGACAATATTTGTAAATTCTAATCCTGAACATTTACTTCTCAGGCAAAACCCAACTTGTTAACACTAGATTTTATGAATAAACTAATCGATATAGCTTTGATTGTATTTTTTGGTGAAATTCATTCATTCATATTGCTACATATCATCTTTGTATTATGTCAGTTCTAATGTCAGTTCTTGATCTTCAGTGTTTACTCGAAATCCTAACCTTAACTAAAAACAACATAGGGATTGTCAACGATTTGTTTAGGTCCTTATGAAGTTTTTAGAATACAGACAGTCCATGCATATTAAGATGAGTTTACATGTCGTTGTTTTCTGACTTACTTATAAGTTAATCTGTAGAAGATATTAATAGATATCTTGTTCATACTAAGTTCAATAAAACCTTCTACTATTATTATTCGCCTTCCTATAAACTACCAACTTATAAAAGCTATTTTTTCTTCTGATTAGCTTGACACTGGCTACGAATTTCATGCGGTTGCTTAAGCTTATCCCTATGCTATAAATTTGTCGTTATTTGAACTGTTCTATTTTATATAATCAAATAGAGATATTTTCTTCGCCTTTTCCACCATAGCCCCGCCTAGAGCCCTTCCAGGGTCACTGCAGATCCTACGTTCGGATAGAGGAGAAGGGGTTGGGCATGAGGTCAGCGACCCAATTTCGTAGAAAACCAAAAAAAAAATGCTTTTTCCGCCATACTTACCGATTGCAAATCCTAAACAAAATGCAACATCTGCAATAGCATATACACTGCCGTAGACTGATGCATGTCTTAAATCGACTAGATAACCCATGATTGGCATCATAGAAGAATCAACCATGCCTAAAATGTATGAAAAAAAAGAATCAGCTCAGTATACTTAATGTTCTGGAATGAAAAAAACGCAAACAGTCGAATCAATAAGTGTTATGCTTCTCAATCGATATGCTTGAAACTATTACCAGTTCACCTTACTCGGTAAACTGGAGCGAAGACAAATTATGCAGTGACACGGTAGGCTGTTCTAATCCGTTATCCCCTGCCCGGCTATTTATATCAAGAAATCTTGATTTGGCGTAGAAAGTGCATTGTACAAGCACCCAGAAAATATGAGGTTGACAAGCACACGGCTCGAGTTTATTTATACATGACAGAAACGTCCTTGGGTGAACCACACCAATTGCGTACTAAAATAATACATCAGCCAATGAAAGTCAAGGATTTCAAGTAACTCAAGGTCATCTAAGCAACGTATGCGCGAAAGTACAAAAAATCCAAAATTAGGAGCTTTCTAAGTGAGTTCTGGGGATCTAACGTCCCCAACAATAAGAATTCGTAAAATAGCTTGAAGGTCAATACTAAAATAAGGTTAACAACTAATGTTAGAACTAAGGTTTTGGAAGTCGGTTTGAGACTGTTATCAATTAAACATCAATCTAAAATCCTTATCCTAATCTTAATCAACCATCATGAATCAGTTATTGATCTCACCTATTTCATAACTGGCTAACAATCAAGGTCTTTCAGGTGTGTAGCAAAGGTTTATCGACCTGCCATTATATTTATAATGTAGTACAGAAATGAGTGCGTTCATCATTGTGATCTTTTAACTATCTGTTCATTGATTATTCATTTTATCTTCAGTATTTCATATCCGATTAGTTCGTTCTTATTTATCTGCGCCAAATTTGATATTTGTACACTACTGAAACTTTCTCCAGAAGTAAACAGTATGGATAACCTCGATAGTTTAAAATGATCTTGAGATAGATTAGCCAATCAGAAAACATTGTGTAAGGATGAAACAATTCTGTTAGGATATTTATCCAATATCCTAAGAGAATTATTGGTCAATTCCTATTGATTAATTCCTACTGGTCAATTTTATGGTTGTCCTAGATTTCAATGTCACATATTCCAATGATGTTTCTTATTGGTCCTCCTGACTGTTCATGTCACTCAAATTTTGTTTCCTATTGGTTGACTTAAATGTCAATGTCACAGACTTTGATGCTGTTTCATATTCGACCTTAATGTATAAATACGCCTTACCTATAACGTTTTATGACCAGGGTCCGGACCTGGATCCCTAGTCTGGGATCCTGATTCTCTTCTGGACTCGGACTTCGTACTTTCTGGATGCTTGTAGAATACAAATTCTACTTCATATCAAGTCTTCTTCTCTCACTCAGGGGGGTTTGGAACACTCGGATTAGAGTAGCATGTCGTGTCACCGGATCCTCGATCCTCGCTCTCGTTTTCCGACCAAGGCAACCTCGTAATAGTTCAAGCATATCAAAATGACATGTTTACACGCATGCGTAACAAATGAATAACAGAAAAGTTATAAAACATTTACAAGAGATCAAGAGTTTTGACGAGTGTGGTAAAACTTTTCATGCGAGTTATTTCTCACGGAAGAGAAGGAAGGATAAAAGATGAAAGTTCGATTAGGAGTTAAGATCGGAATATTGGGTTAGGGTTAGGAATTTAAGTTCACATTTTCGTCACGAATTAACATCTTCTTTAAAACAAGGGTTAGGGTTACACAGCTTGAATAGAATCTAGTCTTGAAATGCAGATGAAATAACTATGAAACACTAGCTTAGATCTGTTGATACTTTCTATATTCTATTGTGCTACATGGATGACTTCCAGACCATTCTTAAAATAATAAAGCAACCCATTTCCACTCATTTTCGTCTAAAAAATTATAATTTTTCGATCTTTATTCTATGAATAATTCAAATTCATTCTTAATCTCTAATCTTGCCATGTTTTTCAACTTTCAGCGTCTCAGTGATGCATTATGTTTTAATATAGCTATGGAAATGCTGCAAGCTGTCTGCCATCGCGTTTTGAAGACCGCCCCTAAAAACCCAATAACTATCATATATAATACAGTTTATTAACTGAAGTCAATCCAATTAGTTAACTATTCAATTTTCACACCATTTTGAAATCTTAACGCTGAGGTACCAATAAATACATAAATAATATATTAAAACAAACTTTAACTGTAGTTCACATACCTATAGCGAATCCAAGTCCACCCATGGGAGCAATTAAATGTTCAACTCTTTTACAAAATGGAATCTATATTAAAGATTATATTAAATAATAATAAATAAAAAAAAATGAGATTTGCGCTTTAAATGCATAACAAAGAAAAAAAATTGCTTCAGCGCGAAAATCAAATGTGATTTTTTCTCCATGAGCGAGATAAAGATTCTAGTTATTGGTAAGCAGTAGTCAAATATTATGTTATTCTATAAACTGAATGACGGACTATCTGATACGCACGCAGAAACTTACTTTCTAAATTTTTTGCTTATTTTATAATGAGTGTGTATTCACCCTTCTAAAGACAACGAAGTATTTTAAACTGATTTCAATTGACCAAGAACAAGGTTAGCAAGCACTGGATTATTTATTCAACTAACAAACTAATTATATAATTTTACCAACTGATTGAATGAAAGACTGAGATTGTGTGTGATGTGTCTTTGAAAGAAAGCAGCCGATTGATTCATTCTTCTCAAGTTATTCAAGCGTCATTTGATCTTGTCTACAACCTTGGTTGTGTTTTAAATGGATGCACGTGTACAATTATCACATGTCCAGGTTATTTCTGTCAGACTATAAATAATGAATTACGCCTCATATTACATCAGAGTCGGCCTACTCTCTCCTTCTCTGTTTCAGTTTAATCATTCTTTTGATTGTCAGTTGGCTTATACGAATAAATGAATGAATGTATGAAATGTGCTCATCCATTAAAAAAACTGTATTGATATTGTAATCATCGCCATTGCACAAACACAGTTCCTTCCAAGAATGATATATGGAAATGAAAGATGAAAGATTTATTTCATAGTATAATCGATCGTTCGTTCGAATTGAAGCCCAAATCACGGGTCGCAAAGAGAGTTTACAGTTTATTGTGTCAATGGTGATACCAACAATCCATATAACTGTAGAAAATATATTTTATACCTATTAAAGAATAGATTTCGCTATTTTTGTTTAGTTATAAAGTAAATTGGTCGTCAAATCAGTCAAATTGTATTGAGTTTACTGTTATGTAGACCTCATAGGGCTTGTCTCCTGAGCCTTTAAACAAATCAACTAGTCCATTCCTCTGGAGTTACTTAAGCGTCTCGTATTTCATATATCTCATATCTGGCTCTGACTACAAAGGCTTAGTTATGCCTCGCTACCAGGAGTTGGCTCACTCACCATCCACACTACGCTTCTCTTTGCTTTCTGTTCTCATGTCTGTCTGCGTGAACGATTGTCTGAAATAAATTTATCCAACAGAATCCGAGTCTGGCTTCTTATTACCGCCATCGCACAACTCATTAATATCAGAGTCAGGTCGTAGGACACTAAAAAGTAGTAAGCTCTACATCGAATATAACGCAGTCCACAAAGTAACCAAATAATATTCGTTGAAAAAATTTAAGTTTAGAATTAACTAAGTTTCTATGACTTAATGACAGTGAATTACGCCAAAAATGCATAAATTTATCAACAGGTTATAATAAACGCTTCAGAAGGTCATTTCATTCTTCTGGAATGGATGATATTTAAATCTTGTTGAAGCAGTATCACACATAGTTCATTGGTGATACTTTGTAGTAAATTTATTCATTATACATTTCAATGTTTGCTAAGATACTTCTTAAGGTACTATGCTTATACACTTGAAATTATCAATCAATCATTGTTAGACCACCATTAGAAACCTGGAAGCATTGAAAGACGGCCGTTTCGTCCTAATGTGGGATTCATCAGCAGTTCGCATCCATAACTCCTGAACCTCACAGGATTCGAACCCGGGACCTTCAGTTTCGCACGCAAATGTCTAGCCTCTGGATCACTGGTCCGGCATCCAAGTGTGTTACTATCTAACTATGATCAATCTAGAGATTTTGTGCAACCTCACCCATTTGCGTTTGATAGTTACTGCCTACAACGGACAGGGTTGAACTCCACTTGTCACGTTTTCTCACTAGAACTCCGAGACTATTGCCTTAGTATTTTTCCCCAGAATTTCATCGACTACATGTGGATGGAAATGTACATTGAAAATGTGATATCTAAATAAAGTAAATAGTTGGAACAATTCTTCGAACAATGTGAAGTTATCATTGAGTGCTCTTGTTTCCTAACAAAATAAAAGAATTCATTATAGACTTATGAAGATTGGTGTTTTCCAATGAAATCATGAATCTATCAGTTTTTTTTAAAAGTTGGTTGATTAAAGTTAGACATTAACACCGCTGGATTCTGACTCATTAGTCTAGAGGTTAAGCTATCGCGCTTGAGATCGAAAGTTCTGGGCTCATATTCCCACAAACAGGGATCATGGATGCGAACTGCTGATGAGTCGCATTCTAGGACGAAACGGCCAACATCCAGTGCTTCTTTGTTTCGTTCTAATGCAAATCTAACAATTATCGACTCATGATTACAACAATAAAAATAAACGAAAGATTATCTATCATATTATGAATAAAAAAAACACCGCACACACTCAAAAATTACTTACAGTCAGCAAACATATTCCACATATAATCATACCAAGACCGGCACTTATTCCTCTACCAATTTTATGAGCAATCGGTCCAAATATATTTGTTCCAATGAAATATGCAATACTACATGGTAAAAATGCAATGCCCTGTTGCCATCCTTCCGATTTCATTGTTTTCCACATCCATAATGGTAAAGATGATTCAAGCAAAGCAATACCCATATTACCGAAAGTGATTGAACCTAATAAATTCGATAAGGAAAGCATTGTTTTATTTTTAGCATATATTTGTATATCTCTTATGGTCCTATGAGTATGAGCGCGGATATCATTTCTCGGCTGTCTACACCGCAGAAGGGTGCTTCTTGAGGAACTTGAAAAGGAAATCAAATTAGCGTTGGTCTTAGAGACCTGAAACCATGACCCCAGAGTCCAAATATTTGTGAAGTGTTAGTTCCACTCTTCAAATGACCTTACCACTGGAGACGGAGGTCTAAGAGGAAGGTGAGATGTGACACTTTAGGGTCAACTTTTTCTAACCTCTTCCTTCATTTCGAGAAGGCAGCACCGCTGCAAATGCTGGTTGTCCAAGAGAAACAACACCTTACTGCTGTCACACCTCTCTACAGTTAGTAGTATGACTTGGTCCTGAGACGTTAAGTTGCTGCGCTTAGTTTTACCTTCCTGCAATCGACTTGTCTGGCATGGCAGGACCTAAAGGGACATATGTTCCAACCAATATAGCTCTGTCGGGTCATTACGATAGGCAAGCCCAACCAATAAGTCAATGTAGCAGTTTCGGTATTAGCAAGGAAATTTATGTACTAAACAGCGAGATTTTTTATATTTCAGGTTATTTTCAAGGAGGCTTTTCGACCAATCCAGCTGAACATAATCGATGTATCGACTATTCACCAAACAGCTTTGAGGTTCATTTTTATTTCATGCTCTCTATAGGTTATTTTTTGCATTGATTAGTCGATATAAATCTAAATTTTATCACACACAAAAAGTATTCGTAAATAGATAACCTACACTAGTAAGTACACACAAAATCATTGGTGCATGTTCAACATTTTAGACATTCTATCATCAGTAATAATGGCATCTATCCGATATTTCAATGTGGATATTGACAAATTTATATCATACAAAGTATTCAAGATGTTTACCGTTTGATCAGTTGTTATAATTAAAGTTAAGGTAAACATTATTAGCTCAATTAGGATCCTCAAGGCCAGAAGGAAAAAAGGAAGATCAAAATACACATTATGCTGAGAAATGGACAACGACATAAGAAGAATGAAGAACAGTTGGAGGGGACTAGAAAGAAAGGTGCACGACAGAGTAGGTTAGAGAAAGGTGGTCAGCGGCCTATACTCCACTGGAGGTAACAGGCGTAAGTAAGTTAATGAGTAAGTATGTAAGTAAGCAAGTAAACTTCATTGCTATTCGTTTAGTTGAATCATAACTAAACAGAAAAATTTGTAGTGGTATCGGTCACCCAAAATAGATTTCAAATGAACACAAGTTAATCAGTGTAAAATAAAGATGGCTTATTCAATGTGATATGCCTGGGAAGAAGTCCAAGAATGACCTTCCGTTGAAAATCTATTTGAACACATTCAGATATTAATAATATTTGCTTGAATATTGAGAAAATGAAATTTGTCGGCCATAGTTTTTTAAAAGAGATCATAGGAGATTGTGTCCCTTACTTAGAACTTACTTACACTGTTATCATAAAATAGCTCTCTTAAAGGTATATTGTTTTAGCATTGATACAGACTTGATACATTTATGAAAAATCTATTCATCTCTCAATGTGTAAACACACTGACTGAGGCGTAGATATTGTTTAACCATTGTAAATGAACTATGAACAGTTTTACAATATTTTCAAGTTTTTAAATTTACTTCAAGTGAATGAGGTTTACAGCAAAAAACTTCTTCAGATTTATAGGCGTTTTTGTAAAATATGTTACATTGTATCCGAAGGCTATTCTGTATTTTGATTTCAGTAGCTTTATAAAACTTAACATCAGTTAAACTGGTGTATTTATACAGACAAAAAGTTAAGTGAGTCGTTGATACCCTAGTGAAACTATTAATTTCTCGATTATTCTTTAAAATCATACTCTTTAGAAATCAGGATTACACATATATTAACTAGTTTCATGAAGGTACCGTATTCTATTCTAATCTTTTTGACGATAAAAACGCAAATCCCGTTAACTGCTACGTTACAAATGTAATCAATCCTCTATAGTTTACAGGGTTCGTCACAACATTTGAAGTTCTTAGGCTCGCTGATTTGAACTACTGATTAGTATCACACAGAAAGAAGGTGACCGTCTACTGTCTCCTGGTTTGTAATGATTGTCTAATTATAACCGATCTGTTATGTCAATTACAAAATAATCAAATCAGTTGTTTACGTTTTGATGTGCTTGAAACTATTATGAGTTCATCTTACCTACCGTAAACGGTAGGCTATTCTAATCCATTGTTCCAGTCCCTGCTAACTATTTCACGAAGTCTTGATATGGCCTAGAAAGTGTATTCGACAAGCACCCAGAAAATATGAGGTTCAAAAGCACACAAATCGAGTTTATTTATACATGATAGAAAAGTCCTTGGGAGAGCCACATGTACAGCGTAATAAAAAATACATCAACCAATGAAATCCAAGGATTTTCCGGGTGAGAAATATAATCTCAAGGTCGACTGATCAGCCCATGCGCGAAAAACTTAAAAAATCCAAAATTAGGACCTTTATCAAGTGAGCTCTGTGGATCTAACTTCACCAACACGTTTTCTTCAGTAACATCCATGTAATTCAAATCAAGAACAATGATCAACAAGTTTTTAGGCGCCTATACTGATTTAAACAGAACAACACAGAAAATTTTAAATTATATTTCAATGATACATACCTGCAGCAATCAGTATATATGGATCTTTTAAAAGTGTCAATAATGCAGCACCTTTTTGATCTTCTTTACGTACTGCTGGTTTCAATGCAATTAGCTGTAAAGCTAGAAAGAAAAATTCAATGGTTAATCGTGTTTAAATGTTGTAGTGTGAACATTGAAGATGATAATCTCATTTAGTTTGATAGTCATAAGAAATATATCAGTGAAAATAAGTGATTTACACTTTAGAATTATTGCTTATAATAGAAGTTTCGTCTTATTCAAGACTTCCTCAAGTAAATTTACTCGGATTCAAGTGTTTATGTTCATATTGAGGCTATGAACTTTGTATCAATTGAATGAAGAAGCCCTAAAGAATTATCCATTACACTACTAAGTTACAATATCCATCTATTTGTTCAGTTCGTACAATACTGATTATTGTGCAAATGAGTTAATCGACTAACTCGTTTTATTAATATTCAGTAATGAATCTGACCGTTTTCTAAATTAATTTATTGATTTATTCAATCAATCATTAAAGATAATGATGGATGGATGGATATGAATCAATTCATAACTCAATCGCAAACATACACAAAGCTCAATCAGTGTATTTGATTTCAATATATCTTACATTTTCCATACACTTATTCAGTAAAAAAAAAAGATTATTTATGTACTATGAACTGTGTGAAAAGAAAACCTAGTTAGCAAGGTAGAGGATTATTTCGCAAACATAATATTTCATATTCCAGGTAAACCTGACTAACAGTCGTTTTCATTATATTATGCCTGAGTAAAGTGTTTAGTATTCATAATGGCATAGTGAAAACTGTATTTGCTTTCAATTATCATTGGCTATTTTTGATTCATGATTTGGGCACAACATATTTTTATATATGAATTTTTAAAGAGTATTTGAACATTATTCATTTGTAGAGGAATAAATTATTTTGTTGACTAATTTTTCTGGTTTAGTTTTTTTCAGCGAGTTGGTTTTCCACGGAATGGGGTCACCCTCCTTCTTTACCTCGGCTTGGAACCGGCAATAACTCTACAGAAGGGCTTTCAGCGGAAAACAAAAAACTCATTACACTGAGGATCGATATCAAACATGAAAAGAATGAACAGTGACTGGATAGAACTGGAAAAGAAGACCCAGGAAGAAAAGTAGGTTGGAAAATGCTGGTTGATAGCTTATGCTCCATTAGGGGTAATAGGCTCAAGGAAGTAAGTAAGTAAATCAATAGTCTGAGGAACATGCGGTTTCTGTCATGGTGATATAGTTTATCAGTTCATACAACTAATTTTACTGTAGTCTCTCAACCGTGACCACTACACGGACAGTCAAACTAATTGAATATTATCACTTGTGAATAGTATATGTCAGTACGGTATTTTTAGTGTCAACTTAATGCATGGTTAAATCTTTCAATTGTATTTACTGAGTTATTTAGTTCAAGCCACAGTATTAATATAACAAAGTTTTCATTTATCGATCTTTATGACTGTAATAACCAGCCGGTAATTGTACAAACCGTGGATTTTACTTCAAATTAAAACAGTCACATAATTGTATTACTTGAACACACATAATGACCAACTGAAGCACTGTTCAAAGACGAATACATAAAACTGTTTTTTGTGGACGATTCACTGTTATCCTTATAGAATACACCCAGGACTTTACAGTTAGGACACAAGGACGAGTTTGGGCAATTCCTAAGATAATTACAACACATTTTGACTTATTGTCAGCCAGTCAAATAACAGGTATCTTAAATGGAAACAATGATGATATCAATGAGATTTCAACATAATTATTTTGAATCAATTAAAGACTTCTAAAAGGAATTTCGGTCTGTAATTGAAAATCGACAACAGTTTGTTGAACTTCACAGAAACAGTAAAACCTCCAATGTTTTATGAGGACTTAATTAGTTTTGCAGTTTTCACATCATTCCTTGTTATGTTCAGAGATTTAGGGTTAAGTTTGATTTGTACTGTCACATACAGCAGTATAAACACAAAGAATGGTTTGTTTAAATGTTATTATTTTTACTCAATCACGACATTTAATAATTTCTCGTTATAATTTTCGATGTTTTGAGTAGAAAACAAATTCATTCTTGTTGTATGCTCTCTCATAATATGACGAAAATGTATTCACTCGTTGAAATCATAAATCAATGATTGTTAGACCACCATTAGAAACCTGAAAGCACTGGACGACCGTTTCATCCCGGTATGGAACTCATCAGCAGTGAACATCCACGAATCCTGCTACCCGCTGGATTCGAATCAAAGGCCTTCGGTCTTGCTCACAAACCCCTATCCTCTGGACAGTTGGGCTGGTGGGATCCAACTGTATTAGTGCCTAACTCTGATCAATCTTGAGATTTTGCGTGACTTTACCCATCTGACTTCGGTAGTTACTGCCTACACTCGACAGGGTTGGACTTCACCGGTCAGGACTTCTCATTAGAACTCCAAGAATTTCCTCGTGAAGCCAATCACAAGGGTCCACATTGTATTCATTTTTTCGACTCTCATTCTTACACACATAAAATAAATTTCATCAAAATTACTTACTGCCATCAGCTAAAGCTAATGCTGCCAAAATCAAAAATGGTGCTTCTTTGCTAATAAATTGATAAGCAATACCTCCAAATGGTGGTCCCACTAAAACAAAAACACAAATGAAACCACTCCTAAGTAAAATAATACAGAATGAATCTGTTTCTCTCGATTGATTTCGATTTAAAAATACTACATATTACAAACCTCTGCCTTAAATTTTACTTCAATTTTATTACTAGTGAGAAAATTAACAGTCGCATCTGATTTGTTAGGAAACTGTTTGTGTTCATTCATTTCTTGGATATTTGACTTCATATTCACTAATCTGTGCACTGAGAAAGCTGTGATTACCAACGCTCACTTGCTGTATGTGAGATAGTTATCCATCATAGGCAGTGGTAGAGATGATTGCACAATATCACGAATTCATTTGATATTGACTGAACAACCTAGAGACTCGGTGAGATCAAAATTCATGAATTTGATCCCCAGTGGGTTTTTTAGGCTTACCATTATTTCATACAAGAAGGATAAAACTGATATTCAGTGTTTCCTGACTAGTACACCTTACCAATAATAGAAAGTTTATCGATAACTAAGATGTAAACCACAGTCAACACTTTCTAGTCATGCATAATACGAAGTAGATATAATTTCGCTGTACTGATCTCATCTTTTGACCACTTTAATCGATAAAAAAGTGAAAGAAATCTAATTGTTTTTTATTCAACTGTTTGGAACTAACAATAAGCTTATCACAACACAGTAAACTGATTTAATTTAAAACTAGTTAGAGTTTTATCATACTATCGTCATCAATGTGATTTACTTTTAGCCTTAACTGATTTTTATTTGACATGCTTTCCCAATCACTAATTCTGTACAGTAATCAGTTGACATGATAAAAATAAAAATCTTTTTTTTCATTAAAAATTCATTGTTTTTAATACATCTGACATTGATGAATCGTACTATTTATTGGTGAATTCTCAATGAGTGATCAGAAATTGGGGCATCGTTTATCTATTTTTCAAACATATGAATAACATTTATTTTTTCATCAGGATGATGGCCTCAGTGGTTTAGTAGTTATGTGGTGCGCGCTACTTATAAGTAGTATATGACGCGAGTGTAAACGTAATGTCTGGCAGCAGAAGATGGGGGAAGATCAAGAAAGGAAGAGTGGGAACACAATGGAATTTGTATGAAACGCATGAATAGTGAAATGTCAGACAATGGATTGATGATGGATTGAAGATTTGCAAATTAACCGTTTACGATATGGTTTTCCTATTTTACTGAGTAACTCTGTAATTTTCGTTAAATACAATTTGGCTGCCCTCACCTGTGTTCTCCTTCACTACAGTTACAGTTTTTACATACAAAGCTGAAAGCGCTGAGTTCGTAGATGTGCAATACTGTAGAATAATTAATTACATACTGAAATGGAACAACAGCCTAGTTGTTCTGGATTTTCCACGATGATCAAGCTAATATCTGAAAAACTATAATTATTTATTTAAACCGACTTTTTTTAATCGTAATATGGATATCTTGATATTTCACAAGTCATCCCAACTTTGTTACACTTTAAAAGTAAACATTAGATAGCATGTATGTTCCCTAGCGAACACTAAGCTTCAAGTGATATCACGTTTGTCTTGTTCTTACGGGTGATCGAATGCTTTCATTCACATGGCTATGAGTGATTTGAAACTGTGAACACTATATTGACATATTAGGTAGTTTGAACAAATCAATAAGAAATCATCGAATAGGTCAGTCGTGCTATGAATAGCATAAAAGTAACTCGTTATTCTTTCAAGGTGGGTGATATAGGTTCAATATTTCATTGAATAATAGCTCCGTCAAAATTAAGGATTCACTTTTGTTAATGAACACCGATTAGATCAAAACCTAGCTCCCGAGTTTTTTCTCCAACCACTTCCATACACCAAATATCTGAAAACAAGAACTCATAGTTTACCTTAGTCACAGTTGTAAAAGTGTTCTAATTATTCACTTTATAAAAACACACAAATTCTAACAGAATTCACATTATAAATCAATTAACCTACCTAATACACCAATAGCCAATCCACTGAGTGCAGCAGAAAATGCATGACTTCTTTCCTTATCGTCAGTGTAACAAGTGGCTAACATTCCCATTCCTATGATGATAACAATAACAATGTAAATTAGTCAATACACAATGAACTTATCCGGTCATAATTCTAGTGGAATCTCTAATTTTATGTATTAAAGTATATATACATATTTATAACTGGTATGTGGATAGGGCACACATTATGGAAAGCACCCAACTACGTCACAAGACAAGTCCTCACTTAGAACCCTCAGGGCAGAAGGAAAAGAGGAAGATCAAAGAACACATTACGCTGAGAAGAATGAACATAAACTGAACAGAACTGGAAAGGAAGACCTATGACGGAATAGGTTGGAGAATGCTGGTCAGAGGCCTTATGCTCCATTGAGGGGGGCGGGGTAACAGGAGTAAGTTAGTATAAATGGTATATTTTCCTGTAAATATTGTAAACATTGACACTTTCAGCCTCATTGTATCCACTTACAAGTAATACTATTAATAAATTTACAAGTTCGCCCTTTTCAGTTTAAAATTTAACTAACTCTACATAATCGGTAGGTTGATTTTTGATGAATAGAATTGATTTGAAACTGTTGAGTTTTTCTATCTTGAAAAAAATGCATAAAAACTAAAGTTCAATTCATAAAGAAACTAATGAGTGGTTTCTATCAAATAAAAAACACGTCGACATTTGTATTTCAGTTTGGTGTTTAATGGAACACGAAACAAATGCAAATAATAACATAATAACTTCATCTAAGTGGTTGATATCTGCTACTAGACTCTAACTATTGTTTTGAAGAATTTTATTTGGAAGTAGAGAAGAAATATAGGAAGCTATTATATAGACAGTTTTAGGCAATAAATAAGAAAACCCAGCCTGGAGGCCTTCTAGGTGTCGCTGCCGGTTCCAAGTCTGGATAAAGAAAGAGTGTAGAGCATGAGGTTAGCGACCTCATCCCGTAGAAATCCAACTTTATAAAAAAAATGCTAACTATAATTCACTGGTCGGTGGTTCATGCTGCATTAGGGGTAGCAGGCGTAAGTAAGTAAGTAAGTAAGTAAGTAAGTAAGTAAGTAAGTAAGTAAGTAAGTAAGTAAGTAAGTAAGTAAGTAAGTAAGTAAGTAAGTAAGTAAGTAGGTGAGTAAGTAAGTAAGTCAGTAAGTAAGTAAGTAAGTAAGTAAGTAAGTGCATAAGTGCATAAGTGCATAAGTAAGTAAGTAAGTAGGTAAGTACAAAGTTATGAACCGAGAGTTTATGTTGTGTTTTTTGAGATGTAATACTCTCTTTAGTTCCCTACTTTATATGATGTTCAGTAATCATTTGGCATAAAAAACTCAATTTCCACCTCCCACTTTCAATTACTATCAATCGATTTTCTTCCAGTTAGTATTTCAGTACTATGTTTAACGGAATTTCTTGTTGACAAGCCAACTGATTAGAATTCAGTTCAAATTCAACATTTACAAATTGATCTTTTATGAATTCAGTTTCTCTTTCTTATCCAATCTTTATTGACTATTGAATGATTGTTCATACAGAAAGTTGGTTCATTACCATTTTTATCTATTTATTGATTTGAAAAGATTTCTTGATACTTTAATAAAATAGTTATTTATTGAATTAATTAAAATTCCAATATAAATATATAGATAGATTATATGTTGTTGATTCAATTGCGCATAAATGATATTGAACATTGAATTTATAAAACACGCTAAATGAGTTTTACCGCTGAAAATTTTGAACAAAATCAAATAGCAGTTGTTAAAGCGTTTACATGTTAAATGATGCATAAATATTTAAGATAGCTATCATTTAAAATGTTAGTGAATCATATATATATATATATATATATATATTCGCGATTAAGTAGTATGTTTGTACTGTGATAAAAATATTTTCCGCCATATCAGTCTTAAAAAGTTGGTTAGGAGAAGAAATATCACTATTTAGAATCACTGTTTAGAATGCATCCTGGAAAAGACCAGTAATGTAAACCAAAATGTATTTTTTTTTTTGAGGACAACAATGATGATCGTTTAATCAACACTATATTCGAATGATTGGAACAATTCTGCACACATAAGGGGGGTTTTAATTTTCGAATCTCAAAATCTGTCCTTCAACATTTCTAGACAATGTTTTGAAGGCTGTCTTGATGTCAATCTTATGCCCTGTCTCAATTAAGTGTTTTGCCATCGATGAACATGGTTTTCTATTTCCCACGCTAATCGGCTTATCTGACGTTGACTGATTGTGAAGCCACTTATGTACATGTTCCATAACCCTTGAATGCAAAGTCCGATTACTCCTCCCTATGTATATGTGTCCACACAAACATGTAAATTGATAAATGCAATGGGATGTGATGTAATCGTTCGAGCAGTGTTTAGGTCTATGTGAAATCATGAACTTAGTCTCTTCAAAGATAATCAGTCTAGCAGCGTTGTATGTTTTCTCTATGGCTGCTTTTAGTCTCTGTCTTAGGATTGGACCATTTGCTTCACCTCTAAATGGTAAAGTGATATAAACCGTTTTTCTTCTCAGCAGAATGAAAAACAAACTTTTGGCCTTAATTGATTTCTACACCTATTGATGAACTTTGAGCGTAGATATTGAGAAACATCTAGCAAATATATACATACATACATACATATATTGTTTGAATTCAGATTTTCAAATATTCATAAAATCAATCTTTAAGCAATGTAAATACTACCTGATACACTGGAACAAGCAGATCCAACACCTTGTAGCGCTCTGGCAAAAAATAAAACTGTATAACTTTCACCAAATGCAAATACTACAAAGAAGGAGAAAAGAGAAAAGAGAATTAATGCAAGTTAATAATAATAAATAGAGAGAAAAATAACCGAAAACAAACAAGTTGTATAATTGTTCAATTATTTACTTTATTGAATGTGGCGGGATTTTTAAAAATTTTGTTACATTTCATAAGTTTACATTTTAAAAAAGAAAACAACTGGTCAGTAAACTTCATCAGTTATGTCAAGTGTGAAGCAGTTTTATTTACGGATGGGATTTCCAAAAATGATTGGACATTATCTTGAATAGATCAGAGAAGAGTAAAGCAATGGATGGTAAGTAAGTAATCTGAAAGTTGAGTGCTCTTTGTAAGATTTGAAGATCTTGAATTTCATAATCAGTGGAATTATGGACTTAATACCTTTTTAAATAATCCTAGAAAGGACTTAATAACTGTCCAGTACTTCCTGGTATTCAACAATTGTCTAGATAAGGTTGATTTTTATTTTTAATAAACGTTTTAGAGTTTCTGAAATCATGTTACTTTTCATATAACTGCAGATCTTTAACAATAAAGTAAATTTACTCATGAATTATAAATAAATGTTAAATAAGAATAGACATTCGGGTGAGAATGAAACTTCTGCATTTATTCCAAGTGATACTACCGTTGATATTTTAACTGTGTTAAAATATCGATAGTAAGATTGTAATAATCACAGAGGAATCATTCTAACTAATATACTTTCTAAATTGTTAGCCTGGATTATTCTTAGACGCTTAACTAGAGCTCGTGAATAGCAGACTAGAGAAAACCAATCTCGTTGTATAAACCACATTTTTACACTACGACAGGTATCGGAACACAGACATACAATTAGGCGTCCGGCAATGGTTATCTCTCTGGACCTAAAGGAGGCATTTAACTCGGTGGATCGTCAGGTTCTGTGGCAGTCTATCATTAAAAGGCATACCAAAAAATCACATTACCTTAAACGAGCCCTCAACTTGAATTCCACCACCACCTTTGTCTTTTTTTAAAGTTTATTTCACTAGCTTATACTTCTTGAATATTATCGTCTCTCTCTGATTACTGCTAATACTTGTACTACATCTACTACTATGGGATTTGAATTGACAATTACGTTTCTGTGTGCTAATGTGGTATGGCAAGTTGAACTGATGTACGTACGTATGTACGAAGTTCAACGTTGCTGTTGATTTTACCTGTGTTGTTATCAAATATTTGGCTTACGACATTTTCATATAGTCCTAATTAAAGGCTTTTATTTAAATCATTAACTGATGGTTTATCCCTCACTGTTAAAACCCTACTACTAAGCTTTCTTAATTTGTGGTGCATTGTAGTCATTTATTTAATTTATATAATGTTAATAGATTTTGAGTCTTTATGATATAACACGGTTAATTGGCTTCCAACCTTTGTGTATTGATCGATCATTAGGGATCGAACCAATAGGATTTAGGATCCATCAGCATCATTGTTTAAAGAAAAGGTTATTAGTCTAGATTAGTGTAAAGTTTACCCATAAATAGTGGAGTCAATAATAGAATAATCTTATTCAGTGACCATATAAAAAAGTCGACAGTTACAACGAAAAATTCACTTAGTTTGAGAGACTAAACTGTACTAAAATATGAATAATTGTATTTAGGATCAGAAGAATTAAAGTAATCGATAAGCATAATTCTATCCTCTTCCTGAATTGGTCTCTTCTATTTTAAAGTAATCACTCTTTTTAATACTGATAATCGATTTGCATAGTTATGACTAAAGATTTAACTAGGAAGAATTCTTGAGTTGGTCTAATATTCTGACAGAAAGTTAGTTTCATACAAGACTGACACTAATTGATTGAAAATAACCTTCAAATAGCTTTACAGCTAAGGTCCGTGACAAGTGACACTCATCAAAAAGTAATTTCTCGATTCTAAACCCAGCCGTCATTGCTTGTAAGACTCGGACCTGAGTTTGAAATATTAACACTTATTTATTTGGGTCGCAACTGACCAACAGTTGTACTGATATATTTATATTCAATGATCGATATTCAGTAAGCAAGTGTCATGCTTTTCTAGTTCTTAAATATTGATCGAATTTTACAGATCACTCTACTGGACTGTCTCAACAAGCGCAAAAGGCAAGTCCAGTATATTCTACCGATCTCTCTTAACCAATTAATATTTAACCTTACTACACGAGATACTTCAAGAATTTAACTAGTGATCACAGTATTGCTTCATCGATAACACTTAATCATCACGACAGACTGGGATAAACAGGTCACTGTTTACTGCTGAAAAGTCAAGACTTTACCATATAACGTGATAAACTGAATTTTAAAAAACAATTGACACTTACCAATAGTAGAGGTAAACATAATAACAAATCCAGTGAACATTGGAACACTGTAACCGATTCTGAAATTTTTCAAAAAAAAAATAAAATCAAACAACTGAACTGTTGTTTAATTTGCATAATTTAAGATATTCCCAAAAAATATCTAAGACATAATACAAGTATGAATAGATAGATATCCTAAATAGACAAGTTCTAATCTGATTGTTTATTATATACGTGTTTAAAACGATAAATTTAAGCGTAGTACTGAACTTTTTTTCAATTGGATGTCGGTGGAATAATTCAAGTCTAACGAAATTAGAGTCTTATATCATTATGTAATAAGGAATGATTACTATACTGTCGGATGGTTTGACTAATATTCGAATTTTTATCATTGTTCTATGTACTCAGGATTTTGAATTATTTTCAAACTCTGAAGTGGAATGTATTGGTATTTTTAAGTTTGTTAAATGTTCATATGTTATTTCGCTCGTCTCCAGTTGCTTTTATCAGTCGATTTATTCAGACAAAAAGAAGATGCTAGATCAAAGAATAGTTTTTCTAAATTACGTGACTTATGTATGTTGTATTTTGTCTTGAAAATAATCTGGCGACATCATGAGTTTCATTATTTATGTTTAAGCAATTTTATAAATGAAGAATTAGATTTACAGGCTCTTCAGACAAGTTAATTTAGTTGAAATCATGAATCAATTATTGTTAGGTTAGCATTAGAAACTTGGAAATACTGGACGGTGGTTTCGTCCAAGTAGGGAAAAAAGCTCTAGCTTCGTAAAGATATGTTTGGAATTCTTGTAAAAAGCGGTGACCAGTGGAGTGCAACCCTATCAGGTGTAGGCAATCAGCCACCGAAGACAATGGGTGAGGTTGCGCTATACCTGGGATTAATCAGAGCTAGACATTAACACTTTTGGATGTCGACTCAGTAGTCTAGAGGTCAAGCGTTCGTGCCCGTGATCGGAAGTCTTGAGTTCGATGCTAGGGTGTAGTGGTCATTGATGTACACTAGTAATGAGTTTCATACTGAGTCGACACGGTCGTCCAGTGCTTTTAGGTTTGTAATGGTGACCTAACAATGATCGATTCAAGATTTCAGTAAAGAAAAACAATCTTCATAATTTGCTTAAACATCAACATTTTTTGGCTTTCTTTTCCTAAATCCTTAATTATGACTAGATGTCCTACTTATAGAATAGTGATTTATAACTTGGAACTGGAAATATTCCATCTTTAATTAGGGATTTGTTTATACTTGAAAGAAGATTGCAGATTTCCTCATTTCATAGATAGATGAAAATATCACCCGAATAAAATCGACTCTTAGTGGTGGTGCGTTCTTGAGTGAATACAATGCAAGTGATCATTTATGTTATTCTGTTTTGAATCGATCAATATTAGACCATTATTAGAACATGGAAGCACTGGATGGCTCTATGATTCAGAGGGTTGAGCATTCGCGCAACGAGACCAAAAGTCTCGCAAGTGGGCAATCATGGATGTGCGTTGCCGATGAGTATTACCATACCAGGACCGTCCAGTACTTCTTTCACATACTTACTCAACAAATTATTATACTAGAAAATAAGACCATGTATCTCTTACCTGTTTGTTAATGGACCTATAAAAGGATTAACAATCATTTGAACAATTGCTTTCGATGCAAACATTATACCAACTTGAATATGTTCATTTCCTAATTCTTCAGTGGTTATTTTTTCAATTTCTACTGTGGCATTTATCATACATTCATTAAATCTACTATTTGCTAGTAAATATTGAATTCGTTTATCATCTAGCATGATTTTCAACTGATCTGTCAATTCAGTTGGTACAGAATGTTGTACAGCATGTCCTCTTGAAGCCCAAATGATAGATTTGTGTAGATTCATTTTATCTGTGATATTTAATAATTTTGTACAATGTTTATCGCCTAATAAAGTTTGATCAATCGACGTTGAAAGATTGATTGTTTGATGAGATAATAAGAAGTCGGGTATAATTGGAACTGTATGAAGATAAGATTTAAACAAAAAGGAAAAAAATAATTAAAGTTCAGAAATAATAACAAAGGACTAAGTTGAAAGATAAGGGTGAATCACTGCTCAGTGGTCTAACGGTTAGGGCACAATACCGAAGGTCCTGGGTTCGAATCCTCCTAAGTGCAGGAGTCGTGGAGTCCCATACTAGAATGGAATGGCCGTCCAGTGCATCCAGGTTTCTAATGGTGGTCTAACATTGATCGATTCACGGTTTCAAAAAATGTGTAACTTAACAATCTTCACAACCCCGTAATTTAAATGAAATCCTACATTCCGATACCAAATAAAGTTATTGATAAGTGATTACCTAAAAATTATTGTGCCTTGTTATACTAGTTCAGAAATTCATTTTGGTGTATGTTAAAACGATCATAACCATTTAATGCCTCGGTGAATAATGCTTGCAGTGTTTTATGTCTGGTTTGAAAACGAAAATTGGTGATTTACTATGATATGATTGAAATGTTTTGCAGTTAAGGTTGATGCTTCACTTGAATTAGGGGCACTGAGAGGGTTGCACAGAATGGAGATGAAAACTTTTTATTGAATCTCTTTCACTCTAAGTAAACGCACTATTGCTAAGAAGGTCAGAGATGAATAGTTTTATTGGAGTTTAGTTCGGCAAAAGTGTTTTTCTAAACAACGCCATCAATACAAACTTAATGTAGAAGTTAGGAATTCTAAATTCTCCAAAATACGACAGTCCCAACTTAACGAAACTCTACTTTGAACAAAGTGAATGAAAATCAACTTGCCTTGAAACGTCGTATTATATCTTCATTCATGTCAAATGTATGATGAAAATTATGAAGATACATTCAACTGGGATTATGTTGATTTTTTGCATAGAAGTAGTATTAGTAGTAGTAGTAGTAGTAGTAGTAGTAGTAGTAGTAGTAGTAGTAGTAATAGTAGTAGGGAAGTTGTAGAACCATAGCATGCATGTCAGTCAGAACTTTGTTTACTCATCGAATTCAACCCAATTTATTAGCTAATCAGAAGAGTCATGGAAGAATATAGGATTACTGAAAAAAAGTAAAAGAAGCAGATAACCAAACTAAATGTGAACTCAACGACAAGTCCGAAGGTTGACAGTCACTACTAATCGGGATCAAAATCGACAGGGCAAGTGGTGGTCAGTCATAGATGAAAAAATCTTGAATATCTCATTTCTATCTAATGTGTGTATAGATGATTTTGTTCAGAGGAATGATGAAAGTTCCACTATTATACCGTCTATCTCATAGAATGAAACTCCACAGAAAAAACTAACCTATTTAATGTAATGCTTAGGAGTTCAATACGAAGACGAAACATCTATCCTTAGTTTTCAATAGTCATTTAACTAAGGTAAATCCATGCTACAAACTATGAAATCTCGTGAAACTATCAATTTAAGCATAAAATATCAAACAATTGTACTTTTCATTGAAATAATGATGATCATCCTGTAAAGATTTGAAAACATAATGTTAAAAACCTTGTTGATATCTTTGCTTCTAACTTAAACAATTTTGAATGTCAAAAATCTTCATCATATTACGATATCAATGTATAAATGCAGAAGATATATTGGTCTCTGTAAATGATTATTGAGTGAAATGTAACTATATACTGATGTTTATTTAGTCCTCTAATGCCGGTCGGATTCTACTGATCATTCTACAATGCAGCTTTCAGTCTAAATGCTCAACATTATGTCCACAATGTTTTAGTGGTATAGTCAGATATGGGTAATTGACATGAAACTGTAAATCTACATTTCATGCTAGTTGACACTTGTTAAGGATGACTTACAGACAAGCTTAAAAGAAACTTAATCAAGCATTAGTTGGAAAAGATTTCAGGTATGCATCGCTAACAAGTTACAACTAGAATATAACCATCTAGTTCAACATCAACAGCCTACAACCACTTATCATATCACACTAAATACAAAACTGTTTATTCTTTTACTACAAAACTTACTCACTACTGTTAACAGCATATTATCTAAAAATAATGCAATAAAAACAATAAACAATATCATTCTTCGATCACCAAAACATCCTCTTAATCGACTTCCACCACCGGTCAGCTTATCCATACCCCAGTGTTTTTTATCCTCTTCTGATGATATATTCATATTGGCATAAGCCAAATGTTTGATACGTTCTAATGTTTGAAATGTTTAAAAAATAAAAATGTTAAATTTGAATAAATAGTTTTATAGTGGATTTTTTAATTAAAGAATAATTTTAATTGAAAATAACACAAAGACTGTTGTTACATTGTTCAATGTTATCAATGTTCAATAAAAAATGTAAACTATCCAGTATGGTCAACAATGCTTTTTCTTTCATTTAGTAATTGAACATTGGATGTTGGAATGTGTAAAATTTTTAAATAAAAGTTCATTTTAAGAGTATAAATGTATACGCAACTGTCTACAATGAATATGTTAGTGATGCATAGCCTAGCATAACAGATGAAAGACAGAAATCCAGTGAAACTTATAGTGCGCAACGAAATGATGTTAATGAGCAACTATGTTTGTCTGTTAAAAATGTTTAGAATATTTATTTTTCAACTTTGAACATATTCCACATTTTTTACATTTGTTTGAATTGAAAAATTATAATTTTTGGTAATATCTGAATGAGTAGGAATTTGTTTCTACAGGTAGGTGTAGACTACGTGGTTGGAGTCTTCGAAACGAAAGTAACCGATGGTTACAGACCGTGAACGACATGACTTAAAATCGTTTGTGATGGTGTAGGTGATTCCATTCTTTGTCTTCTCTCGAATTCTAATCTTCTGAATCGCTCATCACCTTTAGATTTCTCTTTATAAATTTATTTAACTGAATTATACTTCTTGAATAGTATCTTCGAACCCTAATCTTCTTCATTACCGCTAATACTTCTATCATCTCTACTACTATGGGATTTAAAATTGACAACTGCCTCTCCGTATTAATGTGGTATGGTAACTTAAACTGATGTACGCACGTACAAAGTTCTACGTTGAAACTAACTGACTGACATCTACAGAGAATATAATTATGGTTACTAACTAGTATTCACATGCCTGTTATAAAAATAGAAGAGTTTTTAATAATTTTTGGGCTAACTACTGAAAAACTCAAACAGAAATACTTCACTTGTTCATTTTTACACTGTTTGACTATCCTTTCAAAGACTGACAGTTATATATATATATATATATATATATATATATATATATATATATATATATATATATATATATATATCAGTATTCGTGTATCTTACATACATCATGGATGGAAAAATGATAATTGTAGAATGTTAGCTAGCAAAATGTCTTTCTGATTGAAGGTCAGTGTCAAATAATGACGGTTATATGGTACCTTTTGGAATAATTACAACAAATTCATTCATGACCGGGAATTTTTCGTAATACTGTATAGTTGACATTGAGGATTACTCACTGTAACAACCAAAAACTCACCACTAAATGTAACAATAAAAGGCAATAACAGTAATCATGTTCACTGACTATTCATTTACATTCTAATAAATGTCATAGAGTTAAATCTTTAGTCGTTAGCGTTTTTACTAACCATATACAGCAACAATTGTAAGAGAAGACGGCCAGTTTAGAAGTAGGTTTGGCGTACACAAAGGAAAAAACAGTACCATTAGATCTAACACACTATGTAGCTAATAAATTACACTTGAAGGAGATGTTTTAGAAGAAATAGAAACCTTTACATATCTTGACAGTATTATTGATGAACAGGGTGGATCTGATACAGATTTAATGACACGGAATCACAAAGCAAGGGCAGTACTACTGTACGAATGACGAACATTTGGAACTCAAAACAACTGTCAACGTATTTTAAAATCAGAACTTTCAATACAAATATCGCGACAGTGCTAATGTATGAAGCGGAAACTCGGAGAACAACGAAAGCCATCATATACAAGACAGAGGTGTTGATTAACAAATATCATCTACACGAGATACTTCGTATCTGCTGGCCAGACACCATAAGTAACAACTTACTTATGAGAGAGAACAAACCAGATTCCAGGCGAGGTAGATTAAAGAACACACACTGCACCAAGAATTAGAATCAGGCATGAAAAAGAATGAACAGCGATTTGACAGAAATGGATTATTCTATAATGAACTGTTTTACAAAACTCTGATCAATATAGTTTTATTACCATTATTATAATACATTTAAAAATATTAAATATACAAGAAGTAGGAGAAATTGTTGAATGCCATACATGAAAGAATTAATGAACAGATGTTTTGTTTCATTCACTATAAGGAGCCCAATATTAACACAAACCACCTGTTCATTTCCTCAGCGTTTTCAATGGCTTTCTAATCCAAGTCAATCGATGTTGTGCAGTTATGGTTTCTTTTTCGAGTTTGATTTCAATGGTAATGAATTTATAAAACGGATGATTTTGCTCAATTGTAAATGATGTTCATCTATCAAAGATACCTTTTGTTTTAATCTTTCTAATAGTATAAATCATGGAACTTATCGTATTCAAGATCTTTTTGGAATTATGAGACCATTGAAGTTGTCTTTTGTTACAATAATGGTAGTAGTTTTTCGGAAAGTTCAATCATTAACGCTTTTTAATTGAAAACTGCTAATTTAAGAACCAATATTTCATTAAAACAGTGCACATCGACGATTCTTGCAACTCGTAGGATTTGAATCCAGATCTTTCGGTCGTGTTTGTGAATATTTAACCTCTAGACCACTGAGCCAGTACCCAACGGTGTTATTGTCAAATTTTAGTCAATCCACAGTCTTGCGTGACCTCATCCACTGCCTTCGATGAGCACTGCTTCACACCTGTACAGGGTTGAACTCCGTTGGTCACATTATTCATAATTTCATTTTAATGCTCATTAGCGACTAGCTTCGTGAGGACATTTTCGGAGTTCTAGTGAGAAGACGTGACCGGTTGAGTTCAACTCTGTCGAATGTAGGCAGTAACTACCGAAGACAATGGATGAGGTTGCACTAAAATCCTTAGATTGATTCGAGTTAGATGCCGGCTCAGTAAACCAGAAGTTAAGCGTACGTGCACAAGACCGAAGGTCCTGAGTTCAAATTCTGTGAGTATCAGGAGTCATAAATGCCCAATCAATTAATTTAAATGTTAACGAACAGCAGATGATTAATACTTTATTGCTTTGATTGAAGTCATTTTTCAATTGTACGCATCTTAAATTTTCTAGTAAACTATGAGCAAATTTTTATGACTATTCAGAATAGATGATATAAGTGTAACAAGTTTTGTAAAAATTCTTCCTTTTACATCATAAAATATAGTTTGATTTGAATTCACTAGTAAAAATCAATTCAAAACCCATTAGAAAAAAATGATTATTAAAAAAAATAAAGTTTTCAGGAAACTATTTTCTAAGTTTTCAGTGTTTATGTTACTAATATTTTCTAAATTTAAAATATATTTCACTAATCTGAGTGTTAACTACTGAAAATGGCTTTAACACAAAGATTCAATATGAATTTGTTTCTATCACTAAGTTATGGCGTTTCAGAAAAATATTCAAGACCTAGTTTTAATCAAATCTTGTCAGCATATGTTGATTATGCAAGGATTGAATCGATATTAAGATTATGTCACTATTTAGTCAGAATGAATGCACAAAAGTGAATAGCAGCTATTGAAGGTGATGCATTAGGGCATTTGTTTTGAAAAGTACAGGGTCCGATTTTGAGTTCATTGCTGGGATGTAATAACGCCACGACAACGCTTCGCTTATATCAACACACACGGACAATTATGGACACACATTCGATTGGAACAATGTGGAAATACTGGGTGGGGGGACGACAAAGAACACTAGGGAATTTTTAGAAGCTTGGCATTCAGGTCAATCAGCAATCAACAAACACATCGACATTGACCCAATTTATCAACCGATCAGGAAAATCATAGGTGACATAGGATCAAGAAACAGATCAAAAGGGGGGTGCAATCAAAACAAAATTGCAAACAACCACAGGTCAAAGGTCAACAGCAACCAATCAAGATCGAGGTTAGCAGGACGTGCTACAGATCAAACGTGGAGAAATTCGAATGCCTCACTCCTATCTGAAGTTTGTGCTGATGACGTTGTTCAGAAGAGCAATGAAAGCTCCACAACCAAAACATGCAGCTCAAAGAGCCAAACACCACCACCACAATCATCCACTTTAGATAAAAATCTTCACTATTTGTAATAACATCCAGTTGACAAGTTAGAAAAAAGACGAAACATGTGTTTTATATATTCGATTGTTCGTTACATTTTATCTATTCAATATAAATTTCTCCCAAGTGCGTTTTAATTACTTAAATATTAACATAAGTGTCATAGTGAACAAGTAGAACTTGTTATTTCATCAGATTAGAATCTTGCACAGAATGGAGAATACCATGTTTTATGTATGTATTTAGGCAACTCTGGAATACTGCTGAAATCATAAAATGAATGATTGTTAGACCACCATTAGAAACCTGGAAGCACTAGACAGCCGTTTCGTCCTGGTAAGGAAATAGTCAAAATTGAGCATCCACGACTCCTGTTACTTGCAGGAATCGAACAACTAACATCCAGACCACTGAGCCGGCATTCAACGGTGTTAATGTCTAACTCTGATCAATCTAGAAATTTTGCGCGAACTCACCCATTTGTCTTCAGTAGTTACTACCTACACCTGACAGGGATGAACTCTACTAGTCACGTCTTCACACTAAAACTTCAAGAATTTCCTCATAAGGCTAGTCACTAGTGAGCACATTGATTAATTCATGATTTCAGCAATTAACAAGAATCTCAATAACTCTAATTGAAGAACTCTTGAGTAGTCTTTTCTGTGCAGATTTTTATTATCAATTTACTCAAAACCTATTAGTCATAAATAAATATTCTATCGTAATGAATGAGTGTTAAAATTAAAAGGGTTTTTACTTCGAAAACAGACATTAGCTCTTTATGAATGCATATGCGAGATCTGGTATAGAATCAAATCTAGCGAGCAATTCAACTTATCATGAGAATCATATGATTACATGAAATTTATATATTAATGATCACTGGTGACTGTCGCCTTCCGAAGTAGTAGTGCTATTCTTTCAAAGATGCCATTAATCAAGTTGGTAATCAATGATATGGTACATCATTGGAAATGTTAGTTCATGAAATGAAAGAAAGTTAAAAAATATTGACATTTCTTATTCTGCTCAGAGAACAAAACACTACCACAATCATCCACCTGAACTAAAAAGTTTCTCCACCATCTTAAAATTTCTTATTCTCGCTTAGTAGTCTGAAAGAAATACGTTGACAGTAATCGCTGAACGTTCTGGATCCAGTTACATCTATTGACATCGGTACATTTCCGTATCAAAAATCACAAACTAAGATGGTTCATTTTTTTTCGATTTCCAATAAAATTAATTTGTAACAAACGATGTTTCCATATTGTGTAAAATAGTTTTAAAATTAAAAATAAAATGAATAGTTCTAATTCTGTTAAAGTTTTCAATTCAATAAGAAAATAATAAGAATAATTTTAAGGAAGCTGTTTTGTAAATCACTTCGCTTATCTGAATTCTCCTATCATAAACACAATAATGAATGTGTTGACAATAGGGTTATTCTTGAAATTCATACATACATTCTCCAATTAAATGAATTCATAAATATTTATTTTCAATATTGTTCACGAATATTGAAATTATAAACAAAAAAAAACTTTAATTTTTAAAGTCACACAAACAAGTGACCTTTATTGAAGGTCATTTATGGTTAGTTTTTTGGGGATGTTAGATCGCCAGAACTGATTCGGAAAAGGTTTTTATATTGTTATTGTTATTTATTCTGAAATTCTGAATTTCTATATTTTCGCGCCAGAGACGTTAAGCTGACCTTCAGCTGACATCTTTCAGTCGAAAAATCCTTGACTGTCATCGGTAGAAGGATTGTTTTAGTAAGCTATTTTGTGATTCTCATCAAGGACAGTGCTATCATTGTATAAATAAGCTTGATTTGTGTGCTTAGCAACCTCGTATTTTTTGGATGCTTGTAGAATACGTCTTATCAAGACTCTTTCTTTAAGTTAGCGGGTCCTGGGATAATCGGAATAGAAATGCGTATCGTGTCACTGAATCGTTAACCTTCGTTACGTTTACCGAGTAAGGTGAACTCGTATTAGTTTCAAGCATATAAACCAACGAGCATATCATACATGATGATATCAATATTTAATATATTCAACTCATTGTCGCATAATAAGATGTCCAGTCTACGAATCCACTCAAAATTCACTGATTAACATTTTTCTTTATCAAGTTAGTTATACGCAGGGTGGGTTCGCTAACCCCATATCCACACCTCCTCATTTATCTAGCCTTGGGACAGGCAGTAAACACCGAACGGCTTCCAGTTGGAGTTCAAGACCACAAACAAATTAACTTAGATTCTGAATGAACACAATCAATCGGTTATACCCCATTTTTGTAATAAAAAATATCACACCTGTTTGTAAATATAATATGGATTAAACATATTATTTTATTATTGCGTATGAATCAAATAATTATCGAGATAAACTGAATATTAATTACATCAGCTAGCTGTTTTCCAATAGTAAACAATGGATTCCTTTAAGGAATGATTTTCAGTCAATGTTCCTGAAAACCCTAAGTTATTTGCATGCTGAAAATTGACTCTGATTCATTGACAAAAATGATACATCTGACTAGCATGAAAATGAATATTTGTTTTCAAAGAAAAAATACGCTTCCAATCATCACATTTGTGAAATTTGATTATACCAGTTGGCTATATTATCTATTTAGAGATAGAAACGGGGATACGTCAACAAAGTACAAATATCCGTTGACCGAAGAGCAAAACAGAAACAGACTGAATTGGAAAGAAGAAATATGAATTTTTTCAGAGGCGGATTGGTAAGAGATCCTAGTAATGAATTTTATACTGTTTAACAATCCTCATCAAAGCGGATCTAATATTATTATTACTACTACTACTACTACTACTACTACTACTACTACTACTACTACTACTACTACTACTACTACTACTACTACTACTACTACTACTACTACTACTACTACTACTACTACTACTACTACTACTACTACTACTACTACTACTACTACTACTACTACTACTACTACTACTACTACTACTACTACTACTACTACTACTAATGATGTTAACACAGAATCAATATAGGTTATCAGTTGCTGAACAAGCCATGAAGTTTTGATGGATTACATGTGGGTGTATGTGTGTGTAACTCATCAATCGATCGGAACATCTCTCTTATTAGTTAGTCAAATCGATGAAAATCTTTTTTGTTAATGTCTTATTCGATCACTGTATTTTTTACTGTCAAAATAAGCACACAAAAATTGGATTAAAGTTATTTGATTACAGAGTCCTCATTCGTATATTATAAACATTATCAAATTTATTCAAACTTTTTCAAATCTATTTCAACTGTTTATTAATTTGAAAACTATAGTCAACAATTTGTAATTGTGTACGAGGTGTTATTTGTTACACGCTTTAATTTACTGACATTCATTTCAGTAACTGATAAGGTTAGTAGAAATGATATAAGTCAGTTTTCATAGATTACTGATGATAACAGCAATAATAATAATAATAAATTTTCGTTCTCTGATCTATTTTGTTTATTGAATCGCTTGGTCATTCTGTTCACTTTTTCGTGAACATATTCAAATAATTTTTCAGTTAGAGTTATGGAGATTAGTATTGTTTGCGCATTTAAATCATCAATCAATCATTGTTAGACCACCATTAGAAACCAGGAAGCACTGAAAGACGGCCGTTTCGTCCTGCTATGGGACTAATCAACAGTGCTCTCATCCAACAGTGGTTTAACAATCATTGATTGATTTCAGTGTGTAAAAACACTAATCTCCATACCTCTAATTGAAAAATCGTAAAATGTACTCATCACTAGTCACTAGCTTCGTGAGGAAATTCTCGGAGTTCTAGTGAGAAAACGTGGAGTGGAGTGGAGTTCAAACTTGTCGAGTGTAGGCAGTAAATATCAAAGACAAATGAGTGAGGTCACCCAAATCTCTAGATTGATCATAGTTAGACATTAACACCTTCGGATGACGGCCCGGTGATCCAGAGGTTAGGTGTTCACGCGCAAGACCGAAAGTCCTCTTTTCAAATCCTATAAGGTGCAAAAGTCATGAATGCTCATTACTGATCAGTTCCATACCAGGACAAAACGGCCGTCTTTCAGTGCTTTCAGCTTTATGATGGCCGTTTAACAATGATTGATCGATAATTTCAATGTACTAATAACTCGGAATAGTCGATAATAGTAAGTCATCTCAAAATTTACTTTACTTTGCAATGGTTACACACAAATGTACTGTGCAACAGTTGTTACACACAAATGTCAAGTAGTCAGTAGTCAAACAATTTCGAATTTCCCGGTAATAGTTAACATCAACATAAAGAATAATGTCTGACGATCAAGTAGAAATATAATGTCTTTTTATTCACAAATACCATATCAAAATAAGTTATCACATATAAAATAGTAACGTCCACATTTTTAATTAGGACAGTTTTCATTACCGACAAAAAAACACTCTAAAAGAAAATGAGTTGCTTAAATTCGCAAAACTTAAAAAGTGGAAAGTTTTATTTTAGTAAGAATTGCTATTTATTGATTTAACTGTTTAAATTGAGTATCCACTATATTGTTTTATTAAAGACTGATTTACCTTCAAAATATAAACGATTAAATAATAATTAACACATGTCTTCATTATTATTTATTTATATGAAGATTCAGTGAATTCTTTTGAATTGATCAGTTAATAAATGATATTGAACATTGAATCTCACTCAGTTCATGCAACTTACACTACCAATCTATACAATTATGTTATTTATTTAAGTTGAGATTATTCACAAGTGATGTTTGCCAATATGAATTACTTACTTAATCTATATTGGCAAAAATAATTTTTGTTTTAATTTATACCAAGGTAAGGAGGTTAGTTGAAAGATGATGATGATGATGTTAAGAGTACAAACATCAGTCTAATTTCTAATAATTAATACATACGGTTAAGTGTATTAGAGAGTGTAAAAGTTTTTTCTACAAAAAATAGGTGTTTTCTCACAGAGTAAATGAATTGAAAATAGTTCATCGTAAAAATTACGTATCTCACATTATCCACTAGATTCTTGTCATTGGTAATCAGTAACTAAAGCTATTGAGTTATAATATATCAACAACTGTTCATAGGTAATGACCTATCAAGCCATAAAGTAGATAAGGTGACAATTAATCCTATTTTATTTTCAGTTCCTGCAAGAGAGAGAAGTACTCTTCCTTGGTGTGTGGACAACCAAGAAGTGAGTGAAACTAGCCCACATACTTTTTTTTACTGCACTCAAGATCACCTTGTTTACAGTTTAATATAATCCCTTAGAATAGATTTGACTCTAGATCAGTAGCCTCTATTCGTTTATAAGATTACAAGAGTTTATACGACTTATCTGATCAATCATTTCAACCCTTATTTAGTGATAACAGTCGAAAATGAAACTAGTAATTTATGTCAACATTATACATTCAAAGAAAGTTATTTTATATCATAATATAAAGAACTGACTGAGAAATAGAACTATTGTATAAGTAGTGACTAACAGTTTATAACAAAATTTTATCCTTTTATCTTTTTATCAAAATTTATCTACATACTACTTATTAAATGAAATTCATGATATAAAAAATTGTAACAAAACGCTATATCAAGGCTATCTGCTAAGGATGTATTCAATACTTGAGTACAAAAAAAAGGACATTTACTGACACTACCAATAAAGGACAAAAGTTCCTAGCAGTGAAATTGAGGACGAGCCTTTTGTACTGTTTACGACTCGTCACATAGATGTACCTGCGTCCTAGAAATGATGTTCACTTCAATACTTGAACTCAGTACCGAACATTTTTCCGTGATTTGTTATGGTATGTAGAATATATATTTATGGAAGAATGTACAAACAATAAAGAGACTCGTTTTGATACGATAGATCTACTCAGATTAGATTGATCAATATATAACACAGTACTAAAATTTCGATATCACCGATAAAACAGAAGATAATTAAGCTGACATTTCAAAAGGAATGATTATATCGTGACTCCACAGGGTAGGCTTCTAGTGTTACCATCGGTCCCTAGCCCAGATTAAGGAAGAGGGTTAGGCATGGGGTTAACTACTCATCTTGGAGAAAATAACCTTCTCAAGAAACGCTAAGCAGAAAAAGTCATTTAACCCATTTAAAATATACTCTGGGAGTTGAAGGCTGTTCATTTAGAAGAGTTGTGACACCCCACGGTGAAAGCTGAGTTTTTTCGGAAGTCACGAGACTGATGCTCCTTCTGAATACTAGAGTAACGTCGGAGGCTAGGAACACCACTCAAGTTGTTAAGGAAACGAAAAGATACAATAGGAAGACACTCGTCGAGAGAGAGAGTTCTGCTCAGCGTTAATTCGGAAAAAAGTTTCTAAGCACTTTTCGGCTTTCATAGACTTTCTCGAGGAATACTTTGGAGCCCTAAAAAAACTGCAAAGATGTTCAGCGTTTTCTTCAAAAATATTTGGGAAGAAGAACAACTACTGCCCAACTGGGAAGAGGAATATCGCATTAAAATGCCAGTGAAAGATCTTAGCGTATGAGAATTACAGAGGCGTAATACCACTCACTATAAGCACTAAGAAAACTTTTCAACAGTATTGTTGAGTTGAATCAAGAATTCCGTAGACATGGAACTTCGAAATCAACATTAACATCCTTGACCATAAGAAGGCATTTAACAGCGTGGATAGTACCTTATGGAAACTTCTTTTTTGACATAATAGTGTATCTGAGGAGACTGTTACCATCAAACAGAATTAAAACAATCGACTACATGGGACGTATTACATGGAGGGCAAGAAAAGCCAATGGATGTGTATGGGTTACACATGGCAGAAATCACCAGAATCCGTCACAAGGCAAAGGGGAAAAAAACGGCAAACCCGATAAAAAACCTTGCACCGAAAATTGAAGGATAGCACTCTGGAACAACTGGAAACGATAGGTGAGGACCGTGTGGGTTCAAGAATCCTAATCGGCGCTCTAAGCCCCACAAAAGTAAATAAACAGGCAATGGGATACATCACCGCGGCCTCAACAAGCGGTTTGGAAGCAAAGTAAATATGAGCAAGGCTGAAAGTCATCATCAGTTTTTATCCATTTGTGGAGTCATACATAAGGTGTAGCTTACAACCATGATGTATACAAGACTTATATTTGACAAATAAATACATAATTTTCAAAGAACTACTTCAAAATAACTTACGTTTTATATATTCCAGCTTTTCGATACAATAATGAACAAAAACAAATCACGACAGAATGTTTTTTTGAATTTTACACAATAAAAATAAATTATTCACACTAATGTGATAAATTATAAATATAGCCAGTTAGTTAAATTGTTAGTACATTTAACAATTCTCCCAAATTAACGAAATTGTTCTTTTTATAGGCGAAGAAGAATAAAAACAATCTTTTTATTGGTTTATTGAAACAGATTTTGTTGATTGGATAAGAGAGAAATCTTGAGAATAATACTCATTTCTTTTTTTATAGTTTTGGTTCGTAAGAGACATTCAAAATAAACCAATGAATAGCAGCTAGGAAAAAAACAGACAATTAACCCCCTAAATGAAATGTGTTTAAGTAGTATGTATACATAGTTTGTAAGTAAGTCAGTTACAAGGTAGAACTTCGTACGTACGTTGTCATTACCACACTGGCATAGAGCCGAAATCGTCACTTCAAATCCCATAGTGGTAGATGTAGTAGAAGTATTGTAGTGCCTCCACATAAACTTGAGTTCGCTCATATTTAATTTGATTACGCCTTTCGATTAACTTATGTAACCAAGCTATTTGTATAGCAACAACCCATATGTACACCATTGGTATTTTTTATCATCTGGTTTGTATGAGCCTGTACGACTGAGCATTGCTTACGCCTACGCGCTTACTCATCCTTTTCGCTTTAATGTTAATCTCTTAATTCCCCCATGAACTCACATGATTTGTGTCGCTTGCTTTTGACCTTGTCAATCATTCGTCGCTTTTATTCATGTCTGTGCACGCCTATTTCACTTGTCATATGTCTGACTATATATTCTTAGTCATACTCTATCTCTTTGAGTTGGCTCAACAGCCTTCTCCAATTCGCTTCGCACATTCATTCACATTGTAACCCATGGAGTTGGCTCAAAAGCCTTCTTCAGTTCACGTCGCTTCATTCGTTTTATTCACTGCTTCTCCGCTTCGCTTTGTGGTGTGTCCCGAATAAACGTATTCATCATTACGAGTTCACCTTCTGATTTATAAACCGTCAGACGCTATTTAGTAACGATTGTCTGAACGAGCTTATTACGAAACTTAAGAACACGCAGTAAATAGACACACCACAGTATTAGTGGTAATGGCGAAGATTACATTTCGAAGATATTATTTAAGAAGTATAATTCACTGAATTAAATTTATAAAAAGAAAGACAGAGGTGATGAGCAATTCAAAAGATTAGAATTTGAGAGAGCACAAAGAATGGATTCACCTGTACCCATTGCAAACGATGTTGAGCCATATCATTCAAGGTCTCTAGCCATCGGTTACTATTGTCTCATGTTCATCGAACGGATTCTCTACAGGTTGTAATTTAGATAAGCGTTCATTTTATTGAGTTAACCAATAGAATTTATATTCAAATTATGAATAACATGTTTTTAAAAACCGTAAAAGCAGAAACACAAACTACTACGACAATACCAGGTGTGTGAGGTTAAGTAGATTGATCATAAAACACGTAAACGGATGATGATTACTTATGTGATACAACTATAAATCCTAGTAATTTACACTTGAGTCTAGTCAACACACATCATTTATTTGTTATGTTCGTCACTTGGTAAGCTTGAAGCTATTATGAGTTCACCTTCGTCTATAAACGCGAACGGGACAATTACCAGCGTCCAGGTAGGCTAACTTGAATCCAAAACTGCAAAACAGAAGACTTGATAAGCGTAGAAAGTATATTCTACAAACACCCAGCAATCACAATACAATCAAACACACAACTCTCGTTTATTTATACATCATAGAAACGTCATTGGGACAGTTGCGAAAACAGCACACTAAAATACATAGCAGCCAATCACAGCCAAAACTCCGCCAGTAGAACCTTAGGGGCTACTGCCGGTCCCAAGCCCGGATAAAGGAGGAGGGTTGGACATGGGGTTGGCGACCCCGTTCCGTCGAAATATCACTTGCCAAAAAAACGCTAACCAGAAAAATATCTGGAACTCCAAACAACTTTCAAACAAAACCAAAATCACGATTTTCAATACAAATGTCAAGACAGTTCTACTGTATGGAGCGGAAACTTTTAAAACTACCAGAGCCGTCATCCAGAAGATACAAGTGTTTATGAACAGTTGTCTACGCAAAATACTGCGGATTCGTTGGCCAGACACTATCAGTAACAACGAACTGTGGGAGAGAACAAACCAGATTCCAGTGGAGGAGGAAATCAGGAAGAAGCGGTGGAAGTGGATACGACACACTGCGAAAAGCACCTAACTGCGTCACGAGACAAGCCCTCACATGAAACCCTCAAGGTCAGAGGAAAAAAGGAAGGCCGAGGAACACATTACGCTGAGAAATGGAGAAAGATATGAGAGGAATGAACAAACATTGGACAGAACTGGAGAGGGAAGCCCAGGACAGAGTTGGTTGGAGAAAACTGGTGGGCGGCCTATTCTCGATTGGGGGTAACAGGCGTAAGTAAGTAAAAAGTAAAATCGCAGCCAAGGATTCTCCTGGTGGGAAATGAAATCTCAAGGTCAACTGATCAGCCCATGCTCGCAAACGTGAAATCCAAGATAAGGCTTTTATCAAGCGATTTCTGGGGATCTGACATCCCCAACATTTTTCCCATTCAGAATAAATTAGATGATTCCGATTGAAGTATAAGAAAACAGTTCCAGCGTATACAGATAAGTGAATTATTATAGTTAAAGGGAAACGATATGAAGGCCTATCAGTGTTCTTAAAACTAGTTTATGCACATTGTAGAGAAATAAGCCGACTTTAAGAATTTGGACTAAGAGCTAACAAACGATATAACGAAAAACGTGGCCTCCACTATGAAAGTAATTACGATGAGATCTGGTTAAAAGAGGAATGAGACCAGGAATGGCGTTTCGTGAACTCGCTTCATTTGCATTAGCGGTGCAGCGAGATAAGGGAATGTGAGTAGAGTTAGTTGTGGAGAGAATAGGGATAAAAGGGGGTGTGGGGAGAATTTGATTTCGACCAATTCGGTCTCTAGTGCAGTTACGGATGTGGGCGGTTGTCACTTCCAGGTCGCCCACACCAGGGAAGGTTGTTTCTTGAGGGACCTGACATGAAAGGTAGGTTAGTGTTGGCTTAGAGACATGGGAGCGTGACCGCAGAGCCCAACAGACAACTGCTTGAGGCTGGTCACGCACGGCCTTTTTATGAAGGGTTGTTTGAGTATTAGCTCCCCTCTTCAAAGCCCTTAGTGAGCACTCTTACCGACGGAGACGGAAATCCGTGAGTTAAGGGAGGTGTGACATTTTTAGGGCCGATTTTTTCTAACCCTTCCTTGTGAGAAGGCAGCATCGCTGCAGATGCTGGTTGTCCGAGTGAAACACCTTACTGCTGTCACACCCCTCTGCAGTCAGCAGTACGACTTCGCCCTCAGACCTTGGGCAGCTGCTTTTAGTCTGATCGTTCTCCAATCGACCTGCGTGGCATGGTAGAACCTACAGGAACATATGTTCCAACCAATATAGCTCGGTTGGATCATCACGATCGGCAAGCACGACCACCACGTCAATGTAGCGGCTACGTTCGGGTTAAAAAAACAGATTAATTAAATTACTTCAGGAAAATGCTGTTTTAGATTTAGACGCATGAATTATCGTTTTATGAACTTGTAAAAGCATGCGAAATAACTGTGTTATTGTACTCCGAATTCAGTTAATTTACCATAACAGACAAATAGTCAGCTGTGTATAGTCCTGTTGAAAAAAGGGATTCATGCATTTTTCTTTGCCTTATTGATTGTGAATGTGCCCAGTCAATTGTTGATATATATATATATATATATTACACATGCAAATATGAGAAGGGATAATACAGATTCCATTCACTTGTCTTCATATTCTTAGTGTAATAAATCATACTATTGATAAATATTCAGTAGTCTGAATACGTTAAACTATTCACAAGGATTTAGTATCACAGTTACACCGAACCTTTAAACGCATGAACTTCAAACATTGTTATAACAAATTCCTACTCCAGACAATTTTTCTACCTTCAAATAGTGTAATCTATACAAAATGCACTACCATTTGAAACCCTGTTCAATTTAATCAGCTTGTCTATTATAAAGATAGAACTTCATTCATTTCATTACGTAGCGCTGACTAGAAGTGCAAAACGAAACGAGAATGAAGAAAAATAACATTATATTTGACAAATTATTTCTCATCTCAACTGTGCGAAGAAACATGAAACAAGTTATTTTGAATGCCAGAATGATAGATCATTCGATAATTTGCATCGGAAGCATAAATTAAAAATGAAATGGATATCTTCCTTTAGTAACATGCAACCCACTCGTCATTTGGGTATTTAAAGACTTCTTAAATGTTAATTAACAATGATTATACTATGGTCAGATAGTTTCAAAAAAACAATTAAAAAGGGGAAAACCAACCGTTAATGATGATGGATCTTCTCAACAAGAATTATCTAAAAGCTGACAAACCGACCTAGTGATATTTTAAACTAAAGACAGTGGTTAAGTTACTGAGATTACAACCAATAAGTAGTATGTTCGGGCCAAAGTACACTTACTCCAATTTAGACAGTACGAATACTATGGTTAGAGTATATGCATAGCCAAACGAAGTAAAGCAACTGTAACTAAAGGTGAGCTTATGAACCACAGCTTCATTGATAGGTTTGTGTTGTGCGTTACTTATATGGACAGATATAAGTAGTATATAACGGGTATAGGTAATATAATTCTTATAGGTAGAATAGAGAAAGGAGGAGTAGGGAAATAGAAACTCAGAGCAGTTAGAAAAACAACAAGGTGGAGATTGTGAAGATCAACTCAAAAATGATCAGCGAATGGTACATTTGGTGTTTTGGTTTCATTTATTTACAAAGACAAGTAATGTTTCAGAACATGTTTTGCCAACATCCTCATCCTTTACAAGTTTATCGGCCTTCCAATTCTGAGTAACTAATGAATAAT